CTCCAAATCTGTTTTTAGAAACAGTGACATCAGAGAGGCTCTTCACCCGAAGCAGTTTCCCTCTCAGAGCGCCGTCACCCAGCCAGCACCCAGTACCAAACAGCTGATCAGCAACACCTCAGGCTCTCGCAGCACATCCTCAGATCTTCCAGAACCCAACCAAACACTCCAGTCTGTAGAAAGTCTCATCGAAGAACTGCTGGAACAGACACCAGGAGATCCCCAGCTGACCGGAGACACAAATGGTCAGGGCATCAGCATCGAAGCCTTCACGCAGGAGCTGAGGGAGCTGGAGGACCAGGTGAAGGAGCGCAGCCGAGCCTCCTGCCTACAGGAGGACGCTGTGGAAGATGCTCTGTCCGCTGAGCAGCAGGAGGAAGAGCTTTCATCAGTCCTGGATTCAAAACTGACAGGAGACCTCAAGGGAGACAGGCCTGTGGTGGGAGTCTGCAGTCCTGCCAGACCACTTAACCAGCCGGCCTCACAGCCGTACACAGGTGAGTCGCATCAGTGTCAGTGCAACAGGACAATATGCTGGTGAAGATTCTGTTGTCCAGGTCATGATATTAGCGTTACGTCGAACTTGTGCCTAGCATGTTGGAGCACATTGCAACAATAAACTAACATCAGATCTAAAAGGGCAGCTCCAGTCATTAATTTTACTTTGATGAACAAGCATCGGAAGAAATTGAACAACTCTGTGGTCAAGAAGCTGCAGCAGGATCCTCCATCTCTGGTGATGTGGTGGACCTCTGCACCTCACAGATCCAGCAGGAGTGATGAGTTGCTCGTCACTGGACCCTATATAAAGCTGAACCCCAAACCGCTGGTATACACACTTGTTATAAACACGTTCAGTAAGTTTCATGGTCAGCTATACGCTGAATATGTCGATATTCTGTAATGCCCCTCAGCATGCGAAGACTGTGAGCCAGCGCTGACTGTGCACTCCCAGAGCCTTTATTAATGTAGCTGCTGTCAGAGCTGGACCCTACGCTAACTGAGCTAATTACTGCAGATGCTCACCTCCACGCTCCTCCTCTGGCTCTCACACACACACCTGTGTTTGTTATGTTAAAGCTAGAGACAAGTTATGGATTAGTTACCCATAGGTCATATATTTGTTCAGTTCGTTACCAAAAGAGGCTTCCAGCTGTTTTTTTATTATTCTATCTTCAGTGTATGCTAACATGCAGGACAAAAATTTCATACTTTGACATAAGTTTAAAATGTTAGTGTGAAAAGGCCCTCGAAATAACTGAGTTATAATCATTTTTGTGTTTTCTGAAGTTGAGCAGCTGTGGCAGCTGCCTCGACCCACGTTGACCCCAAACATTAATCAGTTTAAACAAATATATCTGTCCAGATGTAAAGAACTACTGGATACATCTTAATCTTAATGGGAGACTGCAACGAAGCCAAGATTCAACTTGTCTGCTGGATTCCTTAGATAGAGAACTTTACTAATTGGCTTTTATGTGAATGTTCCTGTAAAGTGCCCTGAGACAACTTTGTTGTGATTTGGTGCTATATGAATAAACTGAATTGATTTAATATCTTGGAGCCTGAGCGATATGGAAATGTTGCCAATACCCATATTGGGAGGGGAAGGATAATAACGCCGATAATCGATATACTGGCTGAAAGATTTTTAGCTTTGTCCACCCCCAAGAATCAAAGTAAACAGCAACTTTTAAACCCGTTTTAACACTTGAAGTCTTAAAACGGTCTTCCTAACGTGCATTTTCTATCCTCCACTATTCACCATAAGTTTTCAAGTATGTTACAAAAATATAAATTAAACCAAGAAACTCCCTTCTCTGTTCATTATTTAAATAGTCATGTACGAAGGTCTAATTAGTATTGATCGCAGCAGCAGGGTTTATTTTTCTTTGAAGAGAAGTAAAGATTTGAGACAACAATGCATTTCATCAAGGACGACAAAGATAACGTTACTAACACATATATATTTACTGCTACGTTAAGATTTATTGTTCTGGATAAAGTTTTACAAGGCAATATGCTAGATTATCTAAACATTGGCTTGCTAACTTGAGAGGCACGTAGCTAATGACAAGCGGGTTGGAGGATTGAAAATAATTTATTATTGTTTATTTATTTTCCAGATCAGTTGCAATAAATTTACCATGATCTGTTCTGCAAAATACTCTACACAGTATCGCTTGCTGCTTCGGCTGTACTGAAAGTGAAACTTAAGTGAACGGCAATGACTTGAAAGTAATCTGTATGCGCCCTCTGCTGGATACATTGTACAATTACACCTTGTGCCAATTAAGGACATGGCTGGTTCCCAGTGTTTATATTGGTTAATGGGGTGATTTATCACCAATACCGATATGTTCCCAAAACGTGTACAGTATATTGTCCCCTATCGATATATCGGTCAGGCTCTAACGCTAATGTCTCTAAGTATAACCCAGTAATACACTAGCCTGATGTCCAGTCTGGCATACGACCAGAGATGTACATCCTTAAATACAAAACTTTACTAATTGGCTTTTATGTTGATGTTCCTGTAAAGTGCCCTGAGACAACTTTGTTGTGATTTGGCGCTTTATAAGTAAACTGAATGACAACTTAGCAATAATAAGCTTATGTTTATGCAAAGCCTGACGTACATTTATGGTATAAATGAAATCAGAGCCATCCTGAGAGGGGGGCGATATTAATTTGGTCTTGTGCTGTTCACAGATTCTGTGTTTCTACGATTAACCCCAACTTTGCTGTTAATATAGAATCAAAGTGTGAGATTTTTATTTAATGATTGAAGTATCCTTGTAGTAAAAATCTACTACAATATCAGTATGAGGCAAGTATCAGCTACTGACATTTGTATGTGTCAGTTCCGTTCAGTGCTTCTACCAGCACGTAAAACCAGTCACTGTTGCACATAATGGCTCTAAAGGGTTTGAGCATTGCTTGAATCATGAAATTAGAATAAACGATGAGACTGTGGCATGAAGACTTTGTGCTAATAAGTTTTATCATTGATTGTCTTAATTGGCAGCTGCAGCTTTTACCTGAATCTTTTAATAAATGCACCTCCGAGGTAACGTTTGTCTGTCGGGTTTTCCCTGTGCAGGCCCATTCATGATGGTTCTGTTTGCCAAACTGGAGAACATGCTCCAAAACTCTCTTTACGTCAACATCCTCCTCACGGGCATCGTGGCCCAGCTGGCCTGCTATCCTCAGCCTCTCCTACGCTCCTTCCTGCTCAACACCAACATGGTCTTCCAGCCCAGTGTCAAATCTCTGATCCAGGTACGCCGCGACCCACAAAACACAACAAGTCGCAGCTGGTCAAGGCCCTCCGCCCCCGAATTTCAAAGTACTCCACGTTATTTAAAGATAAAATATCTTTGAGGACCAGTCGGAGCTCACTGATCCTGTTCCTCCTACTCCCCTCAGGTTTTAGGTTCTGTGAAGAACCGCATCGAGGTGTTTGCAGCCTCTCATGAAGACTTTCCAGCCATGCTGAGGAAAGCACAGCAGTACCTGGTGGCCCGAGGCAAAGTGGACTGGACTGACACCCCTGCATCGGTCCCCCCCCTGCGCCGCTCTGATTCCCTCAGTGAGTATTGAACACTAACCAGAACCGCATCAGGACTGAGCGCTTCTCTTCAGTTATTTCTGTGGTTTGGTTAATTATCATGCACAAATATATGATTCAAATTCTACTGGGGACGGGGGCAATGTCACTAAATTAATTTTCCTTTAGCTCAGAAAATTTCGCATCCTGCACTTATTTTAGGGATTTACAAACCAACAAACATTATCTATTGCTTTTTTTTTCTTGAACTAAGTACGTTTGAAAACAAATGTACGCTGCAGCTAAAATGGTGGATTTCAGTCGAGCATCGTTTAATGAGTTAATCAGATTTTTAAAAAGATACGAGGGGGGAGACATCGCACATTTAACGTGTTGAGCTCCAAGTCGACCCAGCTGAGGTAAGTTCTCCTCCACGTCACGAGGTTCGCTTCATTTCTAAAAAGTTTACGTCGCAGCAGGTAAAATGTTGGGGTGCACACGACAGTAAAGGTTTAAGGACCACCGCATTAAAGTTACAAAATCAGAATGTTGCCTCTTAAAATATTTGTCAGCCATCGCTTATATTTATAGTTTTTTCTGTCTTGAATTTAATTCAAGGCTGCTTTAAAAATGTCTTAAATTTGATTCTGAAACCCGCAGATACCGTTTTATACATTCCAGCTTGCAAGGGTCATGAAAGCAGTGGCATGTTTTTATAGATTTTATCTGCCTTTAAAGATATTTTAAATGAACTGTTGGCGCATTAATAGTTCGTTGTGCGTTAATCCTAGTAGCCCTGACACGTGAGACTTTCTTGCAGTTCTCCTCCTGAACAGTAGGTGTCACCATGTCAAAAACATCTGCACCGCAGGAATGTCAGCAGAACAAGAGATTACAGAAAATAAAGCTTTTATACAGAATTTTAACTGTATTTCCACATTTAGAGATTCTTTGCTTCATATTTTTTTATTTTCCAGTAAAAAGTCGTAAGCCGTCTCTCGGAGACCTGATCCTTCGCCACACCAACAGTCCCACCCGGGCTCGGCACGCTGCTCAGCTGGCGCTTGCGCACGTCCGGGACGGCAGCCAGTCGCTGCACAGCGCTCTGTTCCGAGGCGGAGGCGGCGCTTCGGGCCTGGAGAAGCAAGCGGAGGCGCTGCGAGTGAAGAACGCAGTCTACTCGGCCGTTATCTTCTGCGAGTTTCTCAAAGAGCTGGCTGCCCTGGCTCAAGAGCACGCAGTCACTTTGCCCTTCCCTCAGAGCCAGGAAGCAGAGGAGTAACGGTAAACACGGACCTCTCGGCTTTGAGCTTCCACTTCTCTTTGTTTACTTGTAAAATATCTCATTCTGCGTTGAGCTGAGGACAAAGTGGAGCACTGAGACTTTTCTGTCACTGACGTGATCTGCAGTGACGCAGACGTGAAAATAAAAGGAAAACTGGGATTTTTGTACCAAATGAACTCGAGACACGCAGTAGGACTGGACTCATCTGAAAACTTTGGGTCTTGTGCATATCATGTATTATATTTACATCCTGTCCACAGAAACCCTTTGAGGAGCGTGTACATACCACGTCATGGTATAAAGCCACAGATAAAAGAAGTAGGTGCACATGTTGGTGCTAGCTCCATACTTTTTATATTTTCATTTGAAACGGTTCCGTTGGGTGGCACAGAAAATGACAAAACACTAAGTTTAGCAGGAAAACACTAAAGGTAAAGGAGCGTTAATGATCCGTGCACAACGAGCTCGAAGCTTTCAGCAGAGCGTCTCATCAGTTCGAACCGTTGGACAAACGTTGGCTTCAAACGAGCAGGAGGTCGTTCTGCAAACGGCGAGGGTCTTCACGAAACTGGAAAATGTTTGTTTTTGACGTCGCACCGTTTACTTGACATATCAGCTGCATTTGGGAGCGGGCGTCGTTCTGTTAACTCTTTTTTTATTTAACTATTATTTCAACGAGTCACTGTTTTCTAAAGAGCGGTGCCATCAGGAAGCTGTTGCCATAAATGAGGCTGTAAAACGTATTTTTCTTTTTATGTGCCATTTAGTTATTTTTAGAGTATGCACTTTAAGTTTGTTTTAAATTCCTTAATTAAAAAACTAAATTCCTGAGGGATTCGGCATTCACTCGTTTTCCCCCACCCGGATTTAACTTTTTAAATTGAGCCACTTCAAATCACAGCTTCCTTTTTCGTTTAGTTTTTGAATAAACAGGCCAGACCGATCAAGATTTCATTTGAAACATTAACATGCTGCTATTTTATTTAATTATTTTCCAGTAACGCTGGTTTTCTTCATGTCGTAGCTACTGTTTGTTCGTTTTGTTGCCAGGTACCGGTTATAAACGTGCACGATGCAAACATGCAGGATGATTAAGGGCAGATGTTGGAGGCGAGCATCGTTTGATTTAATTCATGAAAAGTTTCAGCTGGTCAGTGTTAAGACAAAATGTTCACTTGGAGGATGACACGTTTTTATTTTTAGTGTTTATTTAAATTTCTCCTCATGGTTTTTCTTGGTGTTAAACTTTAATGTGTGGAAATTCTGACTGATTTTTTTTATTTTTAAGGATATTTTTAGCTCTTCAGAGCCGTCACTTTTCTCATCGTGTTTGTAAAAGTGGTATTTCATGACGTCACTTTTCTACAGAATTTATAGGCACATTTCAGAAGCAACCGTAGTTTTTTTTAAGTAAATGTAAGAGTTGTGTGCGTGCCGGTTAACGTCAGGTTCAAGGAAACTTTGGTTTGTGCAGTAAATGATCTTCCACACGGTCGTTCCTGCAGAGACGGACCGCCGATCTGTACTACGAAGCAGGATTAGTGTCCGAGGGAGAAAACTTCAGATTTTTATCTGGGTCTGTTCTGTGACAGAGTATCCAGTTTCCTATAAATGAGTCGGTACACCCCCTCTAAACTAATCAATTCCCTCAAAACTGGAAAAAAAGAATCCACCGATGTGTAACGAGGTCTCCTGAAAGTTCCCCCGTTCGGTTGAACTTCGACCAGAGTCTTCATGCGGGAGACCTCAGCAGAATGGATTCCTTTGCGTTTTGTGATTTTTGTCAAACAAGAGCGTCGCATCTTAATCTCCTAAACTGTACGAAATGTTTCAAACGCTCAGTAAAATGCAATTAGATAAACTAGTTGATAGAAAATAAGTTTATTTACAGTAAGTCCACTTTGTTTGACTCGTTTAGTGCAAAGAGATTCAAAAAGATTAAAAAGAATCCGGTTAATGAAAAGCCTGCAGCACATAAATTATTTTATTTTCAAATAACAGTAATAGTTCTATCGAATCATCCTTTACTGACAACAATGGTGTTGGTAAGCCTAAAAAAATTAGTGTAAATTCACTTTGTTTTGGTTGTTGCTCCATCTTTTTCTACGCCCGTCGAAGAAGACGTGGTGTCGTCTACATACGTACGTACCTTTCTCTTGTCCCGCCCATAACTTCTGATCTGCTCAAGATAATCGAATTAAACTTCATACACATACACATCAACACTAGACGGAGTGTCACATATACTCTTCATCACCCCAGCTTCAAGATCAAGGTCACAAATCAAGGTCAAAGGTTATGGAAGGTTGTATAGATTGCCATATAAGTTTGTCGACAGGCGTATAATGTGCTGTATACGGTTTTCTTCTTTATGACGGTTGGTTCTTTGATCAGCTTCACGTGTTTTACATGAACATGGTCAGATCCAGAGTCAGAACCCCAAGTTGTCTTACCGAGTCATTAACCAGCTTCATATTCCCACTCAGCTGGACCCCGTATTGTTGGTCCTAGCCAAACTGGAAAACTTAATGTAATTCCAGATTTGTTAATCCCGCTTTGTAGTACAGGTCCCTCTGCTCTAGTCTCGTTTAATCGTTACCAAAAGTTTACTCACTGCCATCCGTCTGTGTCTATCCACCGTGTTTGCTGCACGTCGGGTCACCTACCTGATTCTTTCTTTAAACGAACGGTTGTTTTTTGGATGGAGCGCAAGTCGAAGCTCAGATTCTCAGATCCTGGATCAGACTCGGAGTTGACTGTGACTCACTCCTGGGCACCAAAGACAATCTCCTGAAACCCACGTTCACCCACAGACAAGAAAATGTCACACGATCGACGCACTGTAACGAAACGTGTCCACGCAGCACTTATTTAGGAGAAAGTTGTTTTTGATTATTTTTAACAAAGTGCCAAATTTGTCATTGAGGCTCGTCGACTCAATCAGAACTTCAGTTGTCGCTTTTCAATGTCATTTTTTCACTTTTTACAGTTTGTATTTTCTGAAATTGTATCTCAGATTTTATTTGTACAAACAGATATGAGGTTTCTTAAGAAAAAAAACAAAAAACTAACATTTTATGAGGGAATGTTTCATAGCAGAGAGTTTGACGTCTTCCCAAACGGTAAACGGAGCTACAAAACTAACAATGCAACTAAAAATACTATAATTGTATAAGAAATCTAATCCAACCTTAATAAAGTGTAAGCACTCCCAGACAAATGTTTGTAGTTATACAAAACTAACACAAACCTGTACTTTTATTTTTATTATTTTGAAAAATGACGCTCGACTTTTGACAGTTCATCCAGATTTCATAAAAAAAAAAAAAAAAAATTCATATTTAGTGATGCACACTTTTGTTGTTGCTTTAGTTAAGACTTAAAAAGCTACATTTGTTTTCCTATTGGTGTTTTTATTTACTTTAAGACAAAAACAGCAATGCGCTAATGTCACTTTTCTTTGAGGCCCCGCCCACATTTGTTCAAAAATCAAAACAAAATTAATGGAGACGCGTTTTATTTTTTTCTCCACCTCTGCCACTCCTTAAAAAAAGAAGAAGTTTAATAACTTGGTAGAAAATTAAAACAGTTTCAAGTAAAACAAGATTTTAGTTCTTTCTCCAAATCTTACATCCTGTTTCTGTGGCAGAGTTGCCAGATAGGAAATGGGGGGTGGGGTCATATTTTTGCACCTTGCATGCGGTCTGGCTGGTTGAATCAGGTGACATGCGTGTGTTCATGTGAATAAAAGCTACTTTTTGTTTATTTGGTAAACTTTTTCTTTGGTGGGGTTAAGGGCCTTGCTCAAGGGCCCAGAGCGGGGCAAATGAGAGTCGAGGCAGGTGTGGGTGTTTCACCTTTCTCACCCACATTTTGATGTTGTTTGTCCGGGGGAGTCAAACCAGCGACCTTCTGAGCACAGGCCCACCTTCTCTATCCTCTGCGCCACCACTCCCCCTTGTCTTTAATAAACAAAGACGTAAAAACTTTAGCATGTTTCAGCTTCTAACGATCCTTAGACTGCATATCGTTGAGACCTTAAATCTTTTGTATGAATGCGATAATTATTATTTGGCAACCTTGTTCTGCGGCAGCTCTCGCCCCCTAGTGGTGTGGTGTAGGTGTTGCGGTAATATCTGGGGTAGGCGGGGCCTCAAGCACACTACAGCTCATCTAAAACCGGCTTTAACTTAAAACCTTTTAGAATAAAATCCAGTTGATCATTGCACACCTGTTCAGGCAGCGAATGTCTTATTTATAGGATTTACAGGTGAAAACCTCGTTTTGTGTTCACTCATCGCAGTGTTTGTTCCCCACGTGTTGTTTGTGAGGCTTATTCTGGGATTTTTCTGTCAAACAGAACTTTCACCTCCGACTTTTCTCCTGTGTAATCTATGCAAGTCGCTGTGGTTCCCGCTCGGTGGCTGAACGGTTAAAACCTGCAAATTCTGTCTTGGAAACGAGAGTTCAGCGATTCACATGCGTGTGTCCGATGACGACGAGGAAGAATGAAAGTCAGTTTGCGATGATGTAACAATGAATGTTGTAAATATTTTTCTATATTTTGAAATCATTACAGGAAAATAAAGCAACAAAGAGAAAAAGCTGTCAGAAGAACACTACAAAGGGAATGTTTTTATTAATTTATAAATTTGCTTAGCAATATTACATTTGTGTTTGTGTCATTTTTTTGCTTTTTTACAAATTAAATCGTTGTTGAATTCAAACAGGCAAATCTGTTTGTGGCACTGAGCCGTCTTTACTTTGTTTTACTGAAGACTCCACGATGAGGGGAAACTTGTACATCTTTGCAAAAACGAACAACAAAAATTGATTTGTGCAGGAAATTTATTGAGCGCATTTTTGTGTCGAACTTGCACAATACCCATGAATTCAAATGGGACTTTTTAAAATTGTTTTATAATTATCATTTGGCATAAAATAATTTCATTAGTGTTTCTTTTTTTATCTTTTTAAATGTCAAACTGATGCAGAATGAGGAGAGGAACTTGGAAACATAAAAATTAATTCAAAATCTTTTACAAAAGGGTTAAATATTTGATTTACGTTTTCTGTTTAAAAAATATTTAAGATAAAATGTTTGGTATAAATTCATTAAAACAAAATAAACCCCCCACAAAAGATAGTAATGTAACTTTTTAATTGTTTTTACCCTTTCAAATTAAAAGTTTAAGGTTTCAGGTTCACCTGAAGACTAACGCACGTGGTCTCTGCATAATTTTATTATTTTTCAATTTTGAAACGGGACAAACTGCTGAACATTTAATAAAATAATCTTTGGAGTTTCCCGTTAGACCCGAGGTACAGAAGCCAGAATTTGTATTTTTAGTCTTTTTTTTAGATTTAGTTTTAAATAATTTACAGCAAACCTAAACCAAAAAAAATCATTTGTGAAATTTAGGAAGATGTTTCGACGTAAGTTTAAACGTTTGTGTTTCAAGTTAATTATATTTTTTATCATCTGCAAACATTTTTGTTTCGGTTTCTAACAAGTTTTCATTTGAAGATCCGCACCAGACGTCAAAGCTGACACAAAGTGCACGTCTTTCAAACAAAGGCGAGCGCTCGCACGGAGGAACCAGGAGCCATCTTGGCGGTATCCTAGCAACAGCCAACAGGAAGGGAAACGACACCGAGGAGGTGGAGAGACGAGTTAAAGAAGAGCGACGTGTCATCA